CAACTCTCGCTGTAATTCACACCCTTAGAAGTTTGGTTTTGACTGTATTTGATTACCCACAGCAATAGGGATTCCCCTATGCACAGCTCTGTAACACAGCTCACCTGTAGGAAATGTTCACATATTGGATTGCAATTCCATTCTGCTGGTTACTGTGATATATAACGGGGAACCTAGTTGTAATTATGGAACTGGAAATAGTGAAGTGATATGCCACTATATCAATGTATTTTCTGTCTTCCATATGGCCACTGTCCACCCCCACTCCTCTGTATAGCTTCTGCATGATATATCTTTATGGCTTATTCGAGATCATGCCTTATTTTTAGGCATTATTATTAGACCAAGGTACAATAGTTTAACTTTTATGTATGTGCAGTTTTCAATCAAATTGTCGTGTTTTATTATTGTTACAGGGGACAACAAGCTGCTGCTCGAGGTGGAGGACCGGGGGGAGGTAGAGGTGGTGCGAGAGCTGGCGGAAGAAGCGGTGGGCGTGGGTTTGGTAGCTTTCGTGGAAGGGGTGCTCCAAGGGGTGGCAGAAGTGGCTCAAGAGGTGGCAGCCGTGGTGGAGGATTCAGGGCAGAGGAAGGGATAGATACCTTTGTGCTTCTATGTATTGGTATTTTCCTCTCAAGCTATCATTACCAGATGCTTCGGATTAGCTAGAATAGTTTTATGATATATTAACTCTTGGTTGGTAGCGAAATGAGTACTTGGTCTGTTTTTCTACTTCACAAAATCTTTATTGCTTGGGAGGCTTGGGGGTGACTCAAAAGCAACTAGATGGAAGAAAAACTTATGCAACTTCAGTTGCACTCCTGCTCTGAAAAAAGGAGAGCTTAAAACAGAGTTCACAAGTTTGAAAGTGCAGCCGTAAACAATGCCAAGGAAAATCATACATAATAGTAAAGCCTTTCTCTGAGCTCTTGTGATAGATGCAGATAGACTAATGGACAAGAAATATTGAGCTTCATGGAAACCTCAATCCTTATTCAGTTAGGTGCCGCCTCAGGCTTCCCATCCCCGAAGAAGGGTTGCTCGGGCGACACGATTAACTCCGAGGGTGAAGGCTCCCATTCGGAGATCACAGTTGTGGGTTTTGCACATTTCCTTGACATTTTTGAAACCTTTAGTCATGTAGTTTTTCAGCTCAGCTTTCACTTTGTCCTCCTCCCACATAAAGCCTTGGATGTTCTACGGGACACAAAATGGTCAGATAGATTAAAAACTATGCTGGCATAAAAAGGCAGTCCAAGACACCCTAATACACGAGGTTTTTGTCACTATGGGGTTTGGAGAATGTCAGATATAAGTAGACTTACCCAACAAGCTAAAAAACTATTTCGCCGCAACATGCCAGATCAAATGAAGAGAGAAATGTGATACCTGAACCCATTCAAAATAACTAACAGTAACGCCACCCGAGTTTGCATATATGTCTGGAAGGATGACAACACCCTTATTTGATAAAATCTGCAGAGGAAGAAGATAATAGTTATACAAGTGTAGTTATAATGCCCTGTTACTCTAGATTTAAAACATGACATTAACCTCATCAGCCTCTGGATCAGTTGGATGGTTGGCTCCCTCAACAATAAACTTGGCTTTGATATCATTTGCATTTTCCCTTGAATCAGAGCAAGAGGAACACCATGATAACGGTTAGAAAAGCACAACCAGGACATGAACTGAATTCATGATGCAGATTTTACAGAAAGAACCTGTTGATAACACCCCCAAGGGCTGCTGGAATTAAAATGTCACAGTCCTCAACGAGTATCGAGTTAGGATCTATTGCATTCCCACCATTGAAACCTTTGATCCCACCATTTTCTTTGGCATGATTGATTAAGCTTGGAATGTTAATTCCTTTACTGTTCTTTATTGCTCCAGTTATGTCACTCACTGCAACAATCTTCCCACCATTTTCACTTATTAGCTGAGCAGCCCAGGAACCAACATTCCCAAATCCCTGTAAGTAAGAAACACCGTCATAAGACACTTGATGCAAATTGATAACAAATGTACTCTTAGAAACACTGCCATAAGACACTTGATACAAATTGATAACAAATGCACTCTTAATCTGTCAGACACTCTTCTGCCTATTATTGTTTGCCAAAAAACAATCAATTTACTTCATTTTGTGTACTCAAATGTGATGTGATTAGTTATATAATATGATTCACCTGCACAACAAACCGTTGTCCAGCAATGCTCTTTCCATACTCATTAAGCAGGGCTTCTGTCCCAAAGAGTACTCCTCTTCCTGTAGCAGCATCTCTTCCTAGGGATCCACCAAGGTCCTGATGTAGAGAATTTGAGTGTCTCAAGTTACAGCAATCGGAACAAACCATGGTGGTGCTCAGTTTTCGGGAAAAAAGCTATTCAAGATTGAACTTCCATTGCCAATGAACAAGTAAGTGTATGCATTACTCGAATAAGTAACTTTAAGACAAGTATTGCAATATAAATTTACTAGTAATTGTCGGAACCTGAAGGCATTATGTATGTAACAAATAAAAACATCACAAACAATTGTGTTCAAGCTTGAAAACACTATATAACACAAAAAATCATCAATCAAACAATTGAGAAAAAAAATCACTAATCATATGTGCCCAACATAACACATGCTCGTCAAGTAAAAAACTAGAAAAAAAAAAGCGCCAATCAATATAAGTCAACTATTATTTTTAAAATTTTTAAACAATTTTCTCTAGAAACATAACTCCTAAACAATTGTAGTCTTTTGACCAAAAAAAAAAAAAGAACAAAACAATTTTCATACACAACTTAAATAATCAAACCTTTATTTAACAAAATACAACTCAAATCTATTACATAGTGCCTTAGGAGATTGAATAAATTTTTAGCTCTCTACAATAATCAAAAGTATAAAAAAATGAAATTTTATACTCAAAATTAAACATTTGACTTAATTTGTATAACATACAAATACAAATATGCACCCCTAAAGGATCAATCATAACTTTCATATCAATTTTTCAAAGAGCAAAAAGACGACATACAAATTTAGCACAAATTGTGGCAGCTACATAAGTTCACCATTGCCAGATAAACCAACATAAAAATTTATCCTGTTTGTCCAAATCTACACCTTTAACACGCTTTTTATCCCAAACCCGCAAAGCCCATAAACAAAATATAACTTTCTTTGCCCAAAGTTACACATTTAATATTTATATTAGACCTTTACATATTTGCATGCCCTGTAAGCCATAAGCTTGACCTTTTATTGGTTGAATCCATAACAATTTCTCGTGCTTCTCCAAATTCACATATTCACACCCTTCCATTGCCATGAAACAAGGTAGTGTATGCATTACTCAAGTAAGTAACAGTAAGACCAGTATTGCAATATAAATCTATGTTTATTGCAAGTAATGACAATTCAGAGCTAGTTCCATCATTTGTACTTACAATAGGTTTTCCAGTTACCACAGCAGGTGAGTGGCCATGAAATTTTGAGTACTCATCCAGTATCCATGCCATTGTCTGTCAAATATAGAACTTCTTTGAAGCCATTTTCTTCTTAATAAGCTACACAGTAGAGCCTATATTCAAACAAGTCCTGTAAATCAAGATAAAATTTTTCAAACCTGTGGATTTGTACCCATGTCAGGGGCTGGAACGTCTGTATGCACACCAATTAGATCATGTATCTTTTGGGTGAAAACTCTGGTTAGTCGTTCGAGCTCAGTGATGCTCAATTCCCCTGGATTGCAGCCTATTCCTCCTTTAGCCCCACCATAAGGTATGTTGGCTACTGATGCCTTCCATGTCATCAGTTGAGCTAGGGCATTCACTTCATCTGGATCAACCTACATTATCCATGAAACTGTTTTAACTGAAATCGAAAACAGGCCTCAATGCTACAAGTAAATATCAGATCAGAACAGAAAAAAAAAACTAAAATAAGGGACAGAGTCCTAATTCTAAGAACATATTCAACTTATAAAGTTTATTTTCCAGTGTTTGTACAGATTTCAGGCATTATGTAAGCAACCTCTGGGTGATATCTGATTCCTCCCTTCATGGGGCCTCTGGCGTTGTCATGCTGAACCCTAAACCCGACAAAACTAGCCAAAGTGCCATCATCTTTTGGTATAGTGCACTCAACCTGTGATTTATGTTCAAAAGCAGCGAAGAGAGCAGAGTTAAATGAAAGGATGACTTGTGTAAAAATAATATTCACAGCAAAAGAAACCACATGTAATATATCACAAAATGCAAGTCTGCGAATACATATAGGTTGATACATGTTATCAGAGATTTAAAATGTGTATCTGACAAAAAAAAGAGTTCAAACTCCGCATCCAACAAACAATCGTTAGGATGTAACATAGAGAACATACAGATAAAGCAAAAGAGAATATAAGACACGAGATGTCGACAGATTACTGTAATACAGAAATTACTGGTGACTGACCAATCAACTAGTTCATTAATTAACAATAAAAGGAAATATATAAATCAGTAATAAGACAAATATAAAGAAGAGAAGGAACAATAACAAACCTTGATTTCCCTAAATGGGATGAGTAAACTCTTTTCAAGCTTTGAGTCCAAACCCAATAGCCGAGCTGCTAGCTTAAAATTTCTATTGGTTGCGACTAGAGCATTCATGGTTAAAGAACGGCCTGAAGAGCTAAACAGAGAAGATTAGAACTCTCAACTTCAAATTCCAACGACCAAAATAGATCAGTCTGAACAATCTTTCTGCTATGCATAGGCCAGCAAGCCATATTATTTGTATGTCAAGACCATGAAATTTCGAAAAAAAACCCACATAATTTAGCCACGAGATCATTCATATCTTGTCTAACATCTATCACATGCAATGGTGTCGTTATTATGTAAGCTTTATCTTGTCTTAAAGAATTATGTTGTCATTATTGAAATGGTGCATTTTACAATGTTTTATCAGCTTGCATTGGCTTTAACACCCTCAAGTCAAAACTTCAACACCTAAAAGGACCCCAGACCACCCCCAAGTAGGACCATGTAATTGGAGGAAGCTTCTTAAGCTTAGAGATACAACAAGACCTTGTAGTAAACGTATTATAGGGGACGATAAGTCATCAAACTTGTGGCATGATAATTGGCATCCTCAAGGACGACTTAGAATTCAGCCTCTATGTTAATACTAAGGTTGAGCAAGCAAACTGTTCATGTCTCTACATGGAATTGGCCCTCAAACCATTCTAGTGAATTCATGGACATTCCGAACTCAATGGCCCCATTCATGCCTAACCACCATTTAGCTGACAAGATGAAATGGCTTTACAACAAATGGGGGTATTCTTCACATTTAGCTTGGGGCAGTTTATACAGGTCCCGCGCAAGATATTCACGTGGTATAAACTCATCTGATTATATTATGACTAGGCATGAGAGAGGGGCTTAGCAATAATGATCATATGAAGAATTATTTGCAACAAATGGTGACATACTATGTCTTCTACATTAATGTAGAGGAAAACCACATACCATTTTTGTTGAATGTCTATACAGGTGATATTCTGGACTACGGTTCTACAAAATTTGGTAAATGTTGGTCTTCTTTAACTTGGCCTCAGTTACTCCAAAATGCAAGAGTGCAATGGAAGGGTATATCGAGCAATTGTTGTTAAACTCTACCTTGCAGAAATGAAAGGGTGTTGAGGAATTACTCTAAATATGCAGCAACCCTTTTAAAAAGGATTATAAGCACACCCTAGGATCTCCATATTCTGCAGCTCCGGCAAATCCACTCCACTGGTTGCTTAAATGGTGGATATAATTTCTCATCTTTTGAAGTTTTTGTTTGCTCAATTAGTAATAATGATTATGGTCTAGAGGTTAATCTGATTGATGTTTTGCTCAATCATCAGTGTTTGTAACAGAGTGGCTTCTTTTTTATTCCAGCACTTTAGCTTGCAGATTTCTAGAATTGCTCTTCTTTGCAGTTCTAAATTTTGACAATTTGGGTGGTTGTATTTTTGCAGTTTGCACATAGTATGAACAGACTTGACTTCAAAAAAAAAACTAAAAAATAGGCAAGCGACACAAAGCTAATTGAATCTAATTTATTGACTTAATTTATTGTAGTTATTGAATTAACAGGGACTCAATAGTCACGATCTGATCGCAACATGCTAGGCAGAGGAACTGCCCAATTTCCAACCTTGGAATCAATGTTCAATCCAATGGTTTAAGTAACCAAATAAATAAACAAATTTGAGTTCAAGTAATATTACTTCAAATTAAAACGACTTTCTTTTCACATATGCATATGTCGCGAAGTAGGAGTTACATGGACATGTCTTGAATTCGAGTTTCTTGATTGCATAAAACCCAAGTCTAACAGATATGTAAGTATAGTTTGTGATTAATTATGTACAACGACACCGGATGACGAAAATCGAAAGATCACTAAAGTCGTAGATAAAAACTAAATGATCATGAAATGTTAAGTTCATAAAACTGATAGGAGAGTTGTAAAGCCACCATACCAAAATTTCAGTTGGGGTATAACTGAGCAGCACCCTCTGGCTTCAAGGCAATGGAGTGACAATCCAAGAGTACTATGACTGATCTGAATCAAAGTATAAATAGCAAGTACGATTGAGACAGAGAATCAGAATCAATTCCTCTCTCTCTTCAGGAATCTTGAAATCTCTCTGCAGCACAATCCAATGTTTTTGGAGATATATAGACACACACACACACACACACATATATATGTATATATGAACATACATATGTGTAAAAGACACTTAGACAGTGGATCTATGTGACAGAGGAATATGTTCCATGTGCTGCTGCTGGAGCCAGGAGGTCCCTACCTGTTTCACAGAGAATTTCAACTCATGAAGTCATGATCAGCTTCCATTAACCAAAGTTCGTCCCGTGTTACAGAAAGTTAGAAAGAAAGTTAGAATGTGCGTGTGTGTGTGTGTGTGTGTGAGACAGAGAGAGAGTGAGTGAGTGTTGTCATGATCACCTTCCATTAAGCTTGATTCTTCACTGAGAGAGAGAGAGAGAGAGAGAGAGAATTTACAGAGAAAGAAAAAAGAGGAGAGAGAGATTAATACAGACGTGGAAGCACAAACCCTGAGCCAGGCAAATCCTGCTGGAGGTACGTGAATCCGACGCGAAGTCCACATTACCAAGCCAGACCGTTATATATAGGACTCCCATATATACACACACACACATTTAAGGCGGTCTTTGATGCAGTGATATGCTTTGTTTATTGTTAATCAAGAATTTGAGTCGCAAAAACTGTCTTTCTGTCCCGTCTCTCTGCATGTAAGATAAGATTGTATATATGTGACCAATCTCAAATTCTCGACCGCCCTTTATATAT